ATCTAGAAAAGTTAGACGGGCAAATGCAGAAAGATTAGAAAGAAGGCAGATACACAGTCCCTCTGTTGAGGGAAATTTTAACAGTTGGAGCATCTTTGTGATTAAAGGTGGATACAAAGACCAGGGAAGGAAACTGCCTGGTTTAGAACAAGCCCAAGGCTTATCAAATCCTATGTAGGATGCAGCATTTGAGGACAGAGACCAAACAAAGGCCTGTTGTCTAAAGAACAAATGCAGAAAATTGTGCCAAAATTTCCTGGGTCTCTGATCCCGCACAGGTGGAAGGCAAGGGGACTTACAGTAGAAGGACCACTGCCCAAAATATGGAGGATTATTCTTAACTGTTCTGTGCCTCAGTTTCCCAAACTGTAAAATGTGGACCATAATAGAATCTCCCTCATAGGATAATTGGAAGGATTAAATGAAATGATATCTGTAAAGGGTTTAGAATAGGGCCTGCCATATGATAAGCATTAAGTAAGTGTTCCTGCTATAGTTATTTTTACTGCAAAATTCAAATAGTATCAAATCTTGATTCCAAAGTTTCCAGTTGCTTTGACTCTCTAAAGTTGCTGAATGACTTCATCAACCAAGGCTTCAGCTTGAATAGGATGGAGAAAGTTCCATGTTTTGGGAGAATCTCCATTTCTTTTCAGCTCCAGTGACATTCCTGGCCTCTTCCCAGCCCCTCATCACTGTTCCTGGGAAAGAGAAGTTGTTTGTTTATTGAGTTTGAAAAAACTGCTTAGAATGTGCCATTCTATATGTGTCCTCTTTCACTTTGGGTTGCAACTTGCCTGCCGGAAGTTTTAATTTTCTACTTCTCCATGTTATAAACTTGCAAGATCAGGCCTATGATTGCCCAGAACTGCTTGTTACTGGCTGGGACATTTGTCTAATTCAAGGGTGAAGTAGAGAGGGCCTGTTGTGGCCATAAATCTAAGACAAGTCATGCCTTCCAATCGGAAATTTATTATAATAAAACATACCATACTATCTGAGCTCTGTGCCTTTGTCTCAGGTGGTTTTGAACCCAGGAAGGGAAGGGAATGGTACTATTTTGTGACTTCTAAATCTTGGGAGGGAAAACTCATGCAAGGCATTAAAGTTTTAATTTCAAAGCAAGTAAGCACTTTATAAAAGGTATACTATTTCATTTAGATGTTTATTTCTTTCCTGTGTTGATCTTTTTGGATACTCAAATTTTTATTTCCTCCTGACACCGTATAGCTGATTAAGCCATCAGCAACTTTAATAACGTATTCTATTTTCACAAAAGGATGTTTTCCTAACATGTGCTCTATCCATGCCCAATGAGTCCTTGGTAGCCACCCCAAATGGAAGCCATTTTCCATAGTGATAATTAATGACAAAAGGGCCATTCCTGTCACATTCAACCCTATGTCTCAATCAATATTCCCAACACATGGCAGCCTAATGAATCACTTGTATGTATTAGTAAAGCGCATCTGTCCAAAGCAGTCGTTCTCCACCAGTAGGATATTTCTGATTCACTTTGGGAGCTTTTTGAACTGCACAGTAACATCATTCACTTCTCTAGCACAAGAGTCTAGCCACCTTATGGTCATAAGTAATCTCCAGTTATATTGGAAAATAGACTGACAGGTTCTTAATTTGTCCTCTTCATTTATATTTTCTATGCTTGTGTGTTCTGATTTCTGAGTCTTTCATCCTTAGTTACTTCTTATTTTATTCCAACCTATGTCCTATTGTCAAGTATACATCAAATTGGTCTTTTACTTGTTGGGGTTGATATTACTTAATGGCTCCGAGTGTGGAATGTTATGGAAATCTGGATTGAGGACTCGGGCCTGCCTCTGTGTAACTTTTCTTAATCAGTCTTAAGCCCTGATTTCCTTATCTATAAAACAGAGACCGAAGGAGTATCTATAGCATAAGGTTATTGTGAGGATTAAAAGACAAAATGAGCTGATGTATATAAAGTGCCTGGCAAAATGTGCAACCCAAATATATGAAAAATAGTAAGTGTTCAATAGTGTTGTTATTATCTTGTGTTAATTTCAAGAGGAGAGATTTTCCCTTTAATCTTTGTCTAATAATCTTCTATTATTTCCTACTTTCTATGTTGCTTTCCATCTCAAGTGGCTTTACATGACAATTACCTGTTTTATTCAAGGGAATAAACTTACTACTTTATTAGCTTCAATTGGAATTAATTAAATAACCAAGCCAACTATACAGTAATAGACAATTTATCTCACATAATTCTTTCAATATATATTTTTGAGTGCCTGTCAATTGACTGGAGTCTGTAAGATTCCTTTCCTTAAACTGTATCATTTACTTTAAAATATTTTACTATTTCAGACTAGCCTTCCCCAATTATTCTGAATTAATTATGTGTGTCTGTATAAGAAACAATAAACTTATCTCATTTGGTCTATAATGAACCATAGCATGGAAAACCTCAGTGCCAATTTATCCATCCAGTGATGAATATTCCCACATGAAGCGTCACCCCGTTCCATCTTCCATGCTTTACTAAGAATTAGAGCTACCAGATGAAATGCAAGATGCCCAATTAAATTTGAATTTCAGACAAAAAAAAAAAAGAATATATGTCCCAACTGTTGCAGAGGGTATACTTCCACAGCACTATTCATTATTTAACTGAAATTCAAATTTAGCTGGCATTGCTAAATCTTGCTAAGGATGTGAGCAGAAAGGAGATTTAAAAACTGAAATAAAGGTAATTCATTTAGTAACACTGCTAAACTTAGAGACTGCTGGGCCATGCTCTTCTCTTGTGTTTCTATAAATATTTAACTTGATCAACCAGTTATTTGCTATAACTGAAGAAAAAGCTGCCTGTGTTCCCTCACTTTGTGGTTAGAGGGGACATAGCTCAATCTACAAATCCAGGACCAGAATGTTGTTGGTAGTCATGCTAGTCAGACTTAATGGATATAATATCAAAGGCCCAATTCAAGCCTGCTGTCTTTCCAGGGGCCCTAAGCCCCACCCTGCTTTTCTACCTTCCTGAATCCTGTCTGTGTACAATTCCTCCATTGATTTCTCAGGCTTCATCTGGAGTTCTACCTGGGTAGAGCCGGCAGGATCAGATTAACACACCAAACACAGGAAATAGCCCCATACATAGATTGGTGTGAAAAGGCTATGAGATCAGTAACTTACAGTGACTTTTGCCTATAATTTAGCTGTCAGCTTCAGTTCTTTGAGCTCAGACTTAATGACCAGGTAACACAAACCTCAGTTTTAGAAGGAATTAATTTGGCTATGGGCCTCTTTCTGTAAACTCCCTCTCTCTTTTCTGCAGTGCACAATTTTGACTTTCATTCTGTAAATATCCAAT